CCTTCAAGTGCACAGTTTGTTCCTTTAGATCTGTAGATGGCATACTGTAGGTCTGCGGAGGATGATTATCAAATGCAATCTTAACTTGACATTGCATCTTAAGTTAAAGGTAAATTCTTTTCTCCTGTTTGCTGCATGAATCTAAATTTGGATATGAAATTGCGATATTTTCTCGCAGCCAAGTAGAAGATATCAATCTAAAAATAAAACCCCCAAAAGCTTTTTTTTTTTTTTTAAAGAAAAATGGATTATTGTTAAATATAAATTTGTCATGTGTTTTATAATATTTGGAGAAAACATTCACAGTTGGAATGATTTTGATGATAACTCCTCAGATTTTGCGCCATTGTATCTTTCTTTCACTTGTTGCTTAAATATACCCAAACCTAATAGAGCTTTTGGGATCTATTTCGATCCTAATTGATCAGCAGTGATGAGCCAGTCTCTTGGATTTGAGTAGAATCCCATTAGAACCAATCCTTCCTTTTGATAACAAATGAAGCTTTGTGTGAGGCTTATCAGATGACCTGTTTGCTAATGAGGCTGCTTGTGGGTTTTTTAGAATTAGTTGGGTGGGAAAAAAAGATTTGACTGTAATGTTAAGCTCTTATATTTTAATATATAGTGTCTCAACATGCTGCTTCAGTCGGCGCTCATGTGCCTGTAAGGGTTTTCTGGCACTGAGTGGTGCTAAAGGTGTCTGTTACAAGCATACTTTTGTGAAATATCAAAAGATTATGTTGAAACTGTGCCAAAAAAGAGGAAGGGGACAGTCCTGATAACAATTAAAATAAAATAAAAATGCAGTAGGTAATTACACAATGAAAATGTGCAGTTACTTACTTCTAAATTAATTACCTCTAAATTTCCTCTAGTTAACCGCATATAATTAGGCCAAATCTGTCAGGAGGAAGAGTTTTAACAGTAAAATTGCAACCAAAACTTGATCAAAATTTGCAACAATCTCAAATAAGAGGAGATGTAAAGAAGTGAAGTTCAGTTGAAGGACAAATGAAATGACAGACTTCCTGTTCAGCCCGCCTACCTGCGCCATATTTCTCCATTTGTCCATTTGATAAATCACTTTTCTCCTCTCCTCTTCACTCCTTTCACTTTACCAAAATGTTTC